ACAGTATCAGGTACTGATTATTCCTTGAAAATGTATTGCACATTTTCAAATTTTCTTCATCTCCACTGCCACTCCCTAGTCACAAGGGTGTGGACGTGTGGGGAAGGGCCGCATCCCCTCTGTCCATCTGGTTTCAGCACCACTGGAACGGACAGCTCCACACACTTCACCAGGATACTGCCCTGAGGGTAGGAGTCTCTGTCTTCACTGTCCCAGCCCTTCTCTGAAGTCATGACCCTTTACCCGCCTCCACTGGGGCAGCCCTGACATGCGGAAAACAACTGTCCATCAGTGAGTGACAGAAGTCAGGGTATAAGTGTTCTGCCTCCCTATCCTCCAACCCAGTGGGGCAATTCTGAGGCATGTTCTCTGCTGTGCTTCTCAAACATTAGAAGGCATCAGAATTGCCTGAAGCACTGATTAAAATACACATTGCTGAACCCTGTCCCCAGAAATTCTGATTCAGTAGGTCCGTGGTGGGATCCAAGATCCTGTGTTTCTAATGAGCTCCCAGGTGACGCTGCGAAGGCTGACGCAGAGACGCACTTCCAGAGCCACTGCTCCACTCCACTCCGCAGAGGGTTCCCCGTAGGAAAGAGCTCCAGTAGCCCAGAGCAGCAGCTCTCTCATTAAAACAGCTTTTATTGATTTTTTTCTCCCTTTCTGATCTCATTATTTCCCACTGTCTTACTCTGGGACCCAGGAATTACATCCCAAAGAAACCATCCTCAGACAATTTGTACCTCACACTCTGCTTTCAAGGCAACTCAATCTATGACAAGGCCAATATTGTCTTTCACCTGGATTTTTCGAACAGCCTTGTAACTGGTCTACCTGCCACCAACTGTCCCACTTGAATCCATTCTGCACACAGTGGCCCAAAGGATCCTTCTAAGACACAAATCAGGTGATGTGACTTCCCTGCTTAAAATCATCATGCATTCATTTCCATAACCCCTTGCTACAGTCCAGACTCTTACAGTATTTGCAAGACTCTTCATTGCTTTAGTCCTTGGTCTCCTGTTTCACTTCTTGACATTCCCCTCTTGCAGGCTTGCTCCAGCTATTCTAAAACCCTGTCTGTTCTCCTGTCACAAGACTATTCTTGCTGCTGGATTGTCACACATGCTTCTGCATCTTTTTGTTTTACCAATTCCCACTTATTAAACTTTGCATCTCATCCCACAACTCACTTAGGCTGGGACACCTTTTCTGATGCTGTGGATGATATTCGGTGCTTCTCCAAACCCTTAATTTCTCTATCACAGCCTTTATCACGCTTGTTTGGTATTGTTTGTTGAATGCCTGTCTCCCAGATCAGGCTGTACACCCTGTGAGAACAAGAAACACCGCTTTCTCATAGACCATGTGTCCCCATCAAGCAGCACAGGGCTGGAGCACAGGGAGCACCCTGCAACTTCTTGTCGAATGGACAAATGAATGACTAGATATTATCATTTCAGTTTTACAGTAGGAAATGGAGCATGGCCAAGTTAATAACTCAGAGCAGGGGGACCCCAAAGCCCAAGGTCTTTGAGTAGGATGGACCCAACAGAAGTGCCATTGAAGGAGAGCGAAGAGAGCCCCGTAGGAAGATTCTGGACAATGAGATACAGAACCTGAGATGGGTGCATGTGGAGCCCGCGGGATTGCTGCAGTTTGGACCAAAAGTCATGACAGGCCCTGAAGATCCTGCATACTCTGTATTGTTTGTATAATCTCCCAAAGTTGCTGGTTTCCTTTTTTAACAATAATATTTCAATTTTTTTATTTGTATAACATATCATTTGCTATACTGCAGTGAGCATGCTTGCCAATATCGTTGATTTTCCAACGGTGCGATTTCTCCAGTGGGGATGAGGGGTGATTAAAGAGATGGAGGAATAGGTTCAACAGAATAATTATGTCACGTCCCCAAGTGGCAATGTAGGCTATTCTTGCCTACATTTCCCTCAATCGTAATTACACGCACATCATCCAGCACTCCTGTCTCTCCAAAAATAGTAATTTGATGTATATTCTAAAATACCAGAATCCTGTCATGGGATCCACATGGGCTGACAGTATCTGAAATTTCAAAAGGGTTCCTTAGAGGAAGTTTGCTCTTGATGTGGCCAGAAGTGAGGATTAGTTAAAGTACAGTGATCTTTGGCTTGATCTGTTTATTGGGGGGGGGGGTTATTTTTGATGTTATGTTTATAATAAAACAGACAATTTTCTAGTCTTAGATGTAGTTCAGTGTTCTATATTGGGAATTCATGACTTCTAAGTTGCCATGTATTTCCAAAGAATGAATGTAGGTTTCCCTAACTGTAAGCATGGATGGGGATTCAGTTTTATTGAAGATAAAATATCTGAAAGCTATTTGATGGTGGTGGATGGTAT